CCCCAAAACCCCAAAACCCCAAAACCCCAAAACCCCTTTGAGTTAAATGATAATAGAAATCTTTACTATAATAATAAATATATTCTTTGTATTTCAAACAACACCAAATGGAAAACTTTCTTTTTGACGATATAATGACCGAGAATAACCTCTTCCAGGAGTTTGACCAACAAAGTCAAAGTTCCCTCCTCGATGTCATGGTGGATGCCATGATGGATCCTATCAAAGAAGAACTCCCAGCCATTGCTCAATTAGACAATTTAAAGAGTCTTGAGCCTCACAAGCATGACCATATCCAAGCTCACGAGTCTATCGATCAGGGTCTGTTTTGCTTAGATCCACATATCAAAGAGCCTGTTGAAGATCTCATGGTCAGAGACAGCTCCAAAGCCACTAGCTCAACTCCAAAAGTGGCACATGAAATGAAGATATTCAAAATATCTACTTGACCACAGAAAAATGGTGGCCAGCTCAGTTCCACATCAAAAGTCGATACAAACAAAGAAGCCATGCCTATCAAAGACGATCACACTGAAATTGACTCTAATGAAGTTGTGATTGCAGTACCAGAGCCGAAATCAGTTAAAAGACCCCGAAGAGATGTCACATACAAGACCATTCTCAGAAAGTGCAGAAAGTTCTACCAGACCAGGTTCAACCATCACACTGGTTATCTCAAAAACAAGAAGAAGGAGCCCTGCAGCTTCTACAGAGCCTGCATCCTCAAGTTCATCGACTCATACTTCGAGTACAACACACACCTCAACGTGAGTTTCCACCTGGGGTGTCTGCTGTATCCGCAAGAGATGACCAGAGGCATCGAGAGCTTTGTGTACCCAAACGGGGTCAAAACATTCACTCCGAAGAAAGTTGTGAAGCGCAAGATTGAGACTCACAAGCAGCAAGTTGACAAACTGCATAGCATCTTGTACAAGTTCACTCATGAAAAGCTCGACAAGTTCATATCTGTTCCGGAACTGGCTGCAATCTTTGTCAACTTCATCCAGAATGGAGCTGGCAAAGATGTGGCCAGCCAAGAATTCAAAGCTGAGTATGACGACTTGCTGAAGAGATGCCTGAAGACTCTTTCGAAGTGAAAGAAAATCAAAGGAGTCGCCACTCTGTTCGATTAAGCATGGACTTCATCGGCAGTTTGGCCATATTTTATTTATCAGGAGTAACCTCCTCACATAATTAATATAAACATTCGGATATTCTTGCTCGTTACTTTCCCAGTTCTTCGTAAGTATAATAATCTTGGGAGATGCATACTTGCATCGGGATTTCTGGTGACTAAAGTACAAATTTTCATTCAATCTGGTCTTTATTCTAGTTATGAATTTACAAATTTCTACTATTTTATTAAAATTGTGAGCGCATCAGCATAATTTTAAACTTCACTATAAGCTTTATTTGAGATGTGTAAGTCTTTTAATAAGCTCCATAATCCATTAACTTTTTACGAATTTTTCTGTTAAGAAAGCTCGAATCTCATTATTTTATCGTTAAAAGGAGGGATTAATTTGTCAAAGAAGTGACATCACAAACTTCAAAGCCTTCAATTCTGTCATTGGTAGAAATTTAGATTTAGTGAGAATTCTTCAATGAACACCAGGAGAGCCACAGCCCGGTCAGGATATATCTATTATGCGATTTAGTTCATTTAATGTCTTTATTTAATACATTTTAACATAAAAACGGTCTAGAGATGAATAGAAATGAAAAAACCTATATTTGGTGCCTATTTTGATCTTTCATTTGTCCAGATTTTGGGGTTAATTTTAGCGACAGTAATAAGATTCTCATCCCAACAAAGGGTTTCTCATAATGTTCGATGCTTCTTCATATATCAAACCATTGATATGTAAACCTTCTCCAAGGTAAAATTTAAGGCATTTAAAAGCCCACCATTTATTGGACTTAAAATTTGAAAATACAATGAGAAATCTCTCTATGACAAGTTCACTTTAGCTCAATTTGATCCCCTAAAAAGGGGTTTTGGGGTTTTGGGGTTTTGGGG